GAAAGCTGCTTTCATTGTGGTGCTGATGACAATTGATACTGTTGGTGATGGACCATTCAGTGAGTGAATATTTGTTGAGCATCCTCTGTGGCGCTGTGGATGGCGACATAGGCAAAGCCACTCCACTGTTCTCGTTCTAGGGAGGGCGGGAGACACACAGCATAAGAACCCCAAAACAAGACGATCCCAGATGAGGATGGGAACACTGCAGGCAGCTGAACCGGCAACAGTGGGCTGGGGGTGTGTGCTGGAGAATGAATGGGGGGCTGTGATGCATGGAACTCAGAGACGAGGCTGACATTTGAAAAATTTCCACCACGACCTTATGAGCGGAACAATCCAAGAGAAGGAGTCTCTGCAGAGCCTGGCACAAAGCTGGTACTGATATTGTTTTTGCTGCTGTTGTTTAGATGTGTGCAGTTGAGCGTGCAGGCTCTAGAGCCAGCTGCCTGGGCTCAAGTCCTGGGTTTGCAACCCACCAGCTGCGCGGCCTTGGGGACCTGGCCTCCCCTCCCTGGATGTCGGTTTGCACATCTGTTAAACACGGTTAATTTCTGTACTTTCCTAATTAATTACAGCGCAGATGGCATGAGTTACTACACACAACGTGGTACTCAGAGCAGTGCGTGGGGTGCGGCCGACCCTCCTGTTATTATTATTTGTTATTGTTATTATTTACTGTGTGGTGGTTAAGAACACAGGTGCAGGGGCCAGCCCGGTGGCACAGCAGTTAAGTTCACACGTTCCCCTTCAGTGGCCTGGGGTTCCCCGGTTAGGATCCTGGGCACGGACCTACTCATGGCTCATCAAGCCACGCTGAGGCGGCGTCCCATATAGAAGAGCTACAAATCTACAACTATGATACACAACTATGTACTGGGTCTTTGGGGAGAAAAAAGGAAAAAAAAAAAAAAGAGGAAGATTGGCAACAGATGTTAGCTCAGGGCCAATCTTCCTCAGAAAAAGAAAAAAGAACACAGGTGCTGCTGAATTAGCAATAAAATTCCTAAAGCTAGGAAAAGTTAAGGCAGGGAACCAAATCAAATGGGAAAAAAAAAAAAACCCCAAACCGAAAAACAAAACCATATTAAATCTTTGTTCTTGAAGATAAAATGCATTTTTCTCATTTTGGCTTGTGGCTGCGAGAAAAAATTCTGGGTTTCTGCCTTGTAACTACGGGGGCAAAGGAGTTTAATTTAGAAAATAAAACCTCCTAATGGAAATAGACCAGGACACTGCAAACGTTTCCTTCCGTAAACTCCTTGTTTAAAATACAAATTGTTTACATTGGAAATGCATGTGACATGAGAAACTTCGATTTGTTTCTTTTTAATTTTAAATAAAAATAGAGGAAACTAACAAAAAAGAAATACACACAGTATTCCAAAGACTTGGTACAAAAAAAAATCTCAGGAATAATTTTAATATTGATTACATGTTGAAATGATAAAAATTTGGGGTTAAATTAAATATATTATTAAAATTGGGGGGAAAAAAGAACACGGGTGCTAGGTTTGAGTTCTGACTCCACCATGGGCTGTGAGGCATTGGGCATTGCCTCAGTTTCCCCTTCTGTTAAAATGGGTGTAACAGTCTTGGTGTCACCTCCTTGAGCTGTACTCTCTGAGTTTGGGCGTAAATCCATGCCTGGCACAGGGTCTCAGCTCCCTGCCCCTCAGCTACTGGGGACACCAGGTTCCACCCCACAACTGTCTGCCATCTTAGAGGCAGGGAATTTTCGGGAAGGGAAATTAAGGAAGAGAAGGGAAATTCCATCTCAGCCTGGCTGGGACGCATCCTGCTCCACAGAGCGAGGGAGGAGTCTCCAGGGGGAGACACTCAGCCCTCGTGGGCCTCATCCCTCATCCCTCATCCCTCATCCCTCATCCCCTCTCCCCTCCTTCCCCAAACCCAGCCCCAGCCCTTTACCAGCCCCTGGGAGTGGGCTGGGCGTCCCCACAGGGGACTCGAGGGAGGGAGGTGAAAAGATAGCAACTGACAGAACCGCCACTCAGCAACTGACAGAACCTCCACTCAGCAACTGAGAGAACCGCCACTCCCCTCTGCACCGTATCTAACACCCACAGGAACAGGACGACAGCGGCAGTGGCCTCTCCTCGAGCACTTATCTTCCCACCTTCTTTGTGTCTTTTTTTT